ATTTTTTCTGGCTGGCTAAAACCATGTGTTCAAATATCTACTCATTTAGACACATTCCAGCTCTATTCATCAAAATACCACAGTTTCACTAATTACTGTTCTTTTTTATCACTGTGGCACCACTTAGTCTGACTATATTAGGCCACGCCCACAAATTTCATTACAGCAATTTTTCAGCAGTCAAATTATTACATATTTTCATATCAACATTAAGAAACAGCCACAATGGAATGGTTTAGGATAACAGAGAAGTAGAACGGCCTATTTAAAGTCCGAACCTTAATCCAATTGGGAATCCTTGAGAAGACTTGAAAATAAGATTAAGATTATTTTAATAATCGATTATTTGTCGATTATTTTCAGATTAATAATTGGATAGCGAAAGGTTCCTTAAAGAAGATTATTTATAGAATTAAACCAGGTGAAACTAAAGCTTCTCCACTTGAGGAGTTCTGGGTTACAACGGAGTATTAGGGCAAGGCTAGAGATTTTTTTTTTCCTTCTATTTCGAGAATAAAGTCGTAAAAGTATGACAATAAAGCCATAACAGTATGACAATAAAGCCATAAAAAATATGACAGTAAAGTCATAAAATTCCGTGAATAAAGTCATAATATTAAGAGAATAAAGTCCTCAAATTCCGAGAAACAAGTTATATTTTATGACAACTCTTACACGAAGATGTCAAAGTAGACTCTGGTTGCTGATTGGTGGAGCTGGTCGGACGTCATCTGCTGGGCGGAGCTCCAAGCTTCATTTTCATAATATTATGATTTTATTCTCAAAAAAAAAAGTCTGGGCCTAATATTCCGTCGTACTTTTGCACATTGCTATTTTTACTTTTTTTTTTACATCGTTAAATATTTTTCTCAGAATTCTGAGATTAAAGTCAGAATTCTGACTTTAATCTCAGAATTCTGCCTTTAATCTCAGAATTCTGAGATTAAAGTCAGAATTCTGACTTTTTTCTCAGAATTCTGACTTTTTTATTGTCAGAATTGAGTCAGAATTCTGAGAAAAAAGTCAGAATTCTGAGTTTAAAGTCAAAATTCTGAGAAAAAAGTCAGAATTCTGACTTTCTCTAAATTCTGACTTTTTCCCCATACTAAACTGAAATAAAATGTAAAAATCAGTTAACTTTTTTTTTTTTTCCACTGGCCCTAATCCTCTTCCGTAGATGAGACTGAAGGATGACTGAATGCTCTTAATTTGCTGCAGGTCGCCTTGAGGATTCGACCCCTGAGCGATGCGGAGCAGGAAGAAGGGGCCACCATTGTGGCCCACAGAGTGGATGAGCAGGTGGGACGTCCATCATTTACTCTTATCTATTTGCACTCATGTGATCGACGGGGCCGGTGCCTATTTGTTTTGGAGAAAAGCTCTTTTCTGTCTTTCCCCTCAGCCCTCCTGCCTGTCAGGAGCCTGTCGGAGATAAGGTATCTGCAGGAACCCTGCTTCAGACAGGCGGCTCTGTTTGAAACTTGCTTGTATTCCTCAAATGTCAGAGTTAATTTGTCGGGGAATGCAGACCTCAGAGGGACCTTTCAGGCAAAATAAAAAACATTTCCTATCTGAAGGTTTGTGGTTAATATATGTCAGTGACTGCAGGGCTGTGGTGAACTTCTTTGGATCTATTCCCATTATTTAAGAGGGATATTTTGAAAACAGACCATATGAAACCTCTTTGTTTAGTGATGCGTCTTTATTTTTTAACCCCTTAAAGTCTTAGGGAAGCGGCTGTTCCAACCGTTGCATTTTGGAATTCTCCCAAATGGTGCCCGACTTTACACGAGTGAATTAAGTGAATGGGATTGGTCAATTATCAAGGGGGCGGGATTGTTCTGGAGGAAGGTTCACAAGCAAGTTTGGTTGTGGCCGGTTTGTCGGAAGCATCGTTGCTAACCAGTTAGCAACTTAGTGCTAGCAGGTTCCCAATGGGAAATTCCATTGGGACCAAGTAGCACTAAATTGGTGACTTAGAAACGACGCTGTCAAGGAACGCTATGGACAGCGGAAACATGCAAGAGGAGGAGAGTTTAGTGTCGGAGGTCGTGGATTAGTCTCCTCCGTCATCCATTTTTTATTTAGAGGAGGAAAGCGGGGACGAAGATGTTGTGGAAGAGGACGCCAGGGCGGCAGAAGCTTGGTTTGGTGTAGAAGGCTTCCAGCCGTACATGTTTGAGCCCTTGCCTCGCAACGCTGCCAGTTCTGTTAGCTCTACGCCTGCCGAAGACACAGACGTCCATCCCCGTGAACACTGGGACGCAACTCAATGGGAAAGTAAAGGATTCTGATTTCAACCGTTGCGTATATTAGCTGCGACATATGAATCAAGATGCTATGACCGAAAACATCTGATTGACGGATAACCGTTGATATATGATTGGCCGAATTTAGGTGTTCAGGCTGACGTAGAACTAACTGGCCGGCAGAAGATAACAAAAAAAAAACACGGATTTTAGAGAGGATTTTTGTTTTTTTATTGAAATTTTCTACATTTTGGGACAATATCATCTGATAAAGGATACATTTATATAAATGTTTAATCCAGAATGATTTGACATTTAAATATGACTTCCTTACGACTTTAAGCCTGGCCCGCCCAGCTGACACCAGCTGATGTTTATCTATTTACAATAGAAATGGCCAAAACATGGTCACATGGTGTTTTATCCACACGCCTTTCAAATGGGGCTTTAACATTTCCTGTTAAAACAAGTTTCAACATTATTTTTCACTACTATCTTTTGTTTTATAGCTGTGTAAACAATTAAAATGAGATTTAAAATTCCACCTGAAATGTGTGACTGCGGGGGTAATGCAACAGCAGATATTTGTCTTAAGCTCCAGCCCCTCATGGCCAGCATCTTTCGAAACTAGAGGCTCAGACCTTTCCAAGGAGGGGTCGGAGGTAATTCTGCAACAATTTCAAGTCATTTAATTCTTAATTTTTATTCAGTTTGATGATATTATTGGTAAATTCCAATGAAACAACTGCCCCATCTTAGGAGTTAATGCTTTCTCTTATGCCGAAGGTCTCCAATAATGGAAATCAGCATACTTGTCTGACCAGATTCCCTTTTATGACTGAAAAAATGCATTTTTGCAAAATCCCATTTCCTCCTAGGTCACTGCCCACTAAAACTTTTGTGGAACAAACATGCTTCATCTTATTCAGTCCAAATTTGCTTGACTTATAGTCAAGATGTGGATCTATAAAAGTTTCAAGGGTTTCAAATGTATTTTCATGATGTTTTTTTTTCTTTTTTCTTTGTTTAATCGCCTTTAAACAAGACATGGTGACATTTAAAATAGTGGTTCCACCTGAAAAATATCCCTCAATGCGTTTCTATCACACAAATGCAAACAATTGTATTTCCAATTCATAGTTTGGGAGCTGTACTTGCTTTAATTCACATTCGTTATTTCAGCTCCTAAGACCCTCAGGGCTTAAGGGGTTAAGAAAAACAACAAAGACACATAATCAGAAATCAGTTTTTTCTTTGCAAATTCATACCCCTACTTTGTACGATAAAAGCATTGTTTCATCGTTTTATATATCTCCGTTTTCTTAAATTATTTCTTTTTTATGTATTTTCCATCTCTTGTTTAATATGTTTATGATAAATAGTGAAAAAAATAATAGAAATCCTCTAATTACATGTATCATTTGAATATAATATTATTTTCATAGGATGACGTATTACTCCTTATTAATTTGTTCTGATCTTTTTGGATTATTTGCATCTTATACAATATGCTGAATAAAAAATGAAAACCACTGAACTACCAGCAGCAAGTGGATAATTTTTATTGGACTTTTATAACCAGATTTTCATGCAGTGGATTATAAGGAAATGGCTTAAAATCCTCATTCCAATAAATCCGCTTGATGGGTAATAACTGACAAACAGCCTTTGCCTTCGTTTAAAAGAATCAGACTTAAAATGATGAAATGTTGATCAATTTAAAACAAACAAAAATGTAATTTTCTATTGTTTCTTTATTCCTCTAAAATGAACAAAGCACATCTTAAAATCTTTCTCTCTGTTCAATTAATCAACATAAAATAGATTGATTCCAAACTTTGGGCTGATGAAATCCACACATGCCGCCTGTTATCTGGGCGGATGCATAATGAGCCATGTTTGCCATCAGGTTTTTACCTTCAGTCTTATCCCCATGGGGAGCTTTTAGCAGCATTTGGAATGATGATGAAGGAAGTGCAAAGGCTAATGAGCATCTCGACTGAGAAGCTGCAGAGGTGTTCTCCACTCACCTCAGGCTAATTAAAACAACGGCGTGGAAGCTGGGTATTTGCAAAGGGCCATGTGACGAGTGGACGTGCCATGGTGGAGTGATTGACTCATTTTATTTAAGTTTTCAAAATGGCGGTAGTGGAAGACGGATAATCTGCTGGGCTGAGAGTTAACTTTGATGTAATTCAATTACTGCAGTTCTTAGTATCAACATCAGCACTTCTAGCAGCAATGACATCACTAGAACCGGCTTGGAGTCTGAGGATTAGAGCAGAACAACAGGGAGGTAGTTAAGGTGCCACCCCACCCCCTCCTGTGTAAAGGCTTTGTTATTGTCTCATCTTGGTTGTTTTTTTACCTGTGCCTCGTGCTGCCGTGTTTATTTCCAAACAGCACTTTTGCTTTTTAAGTCAAATCTTAAAGTAAAAGTTTGGTCAGCGAGGAATAATCAATGGATCATGGCAAACTTGATCTTAAAGGACTTCTCCTTTAAGCAGTGTGATAAAAACTCCCACTTTCCCTTATCTGCTGTAGCTTTAACATCATAACCTAAAATGTAACAGATTTACCTTTTGTAACACAACTTTGAAAGACCGGATAAAAAAATTCAACCTGGAGAAATCCACAAAGACAAAAGCGGCATTTAGAAATGTGTTCAGTTTATTTAATGCGGGTAACAATTATATTTTTCAAGCCATTTCTATCTAAGGGAAACCAGCTGATTGCAAGGAATCATTTACCCCATTTACGCTACGCTTGAAAAGCCGTGCCGAGACCGGTCCGAGCTCAGTAACTGAGATAACTTATCGTGTGTAAATGGAAAGCAAACTGAACTGAACTGAGCTAGACACAACCGTGCCGATCTGGCTGCACATCGCGATTCACACTCCATTCCAGTAGGTGGCGGTAATGTTCCTCCAGAAACAGAAGAAGAACAACTTCTTCTTCAACTGTAACCAATAATCGAAATCTTCTCCAGGCAACATTTTAAATAATAACACCGAAGTACAGCAATAATAATCAAGCATAACTTTCTGAATGTGACGGGCGCCGCCATTTTGATTTGCTTGATTCCCTCCTTCTAGGTCTTCTTCTTCTTGTGTTTTATGGCGGTTGGCAAACAACTTTTGTTGCATTACCGCCACCAACTGCTTGATTTCCTCCTTCAATACTGGTAGTAATACCGCAGATCGTCACTAGGAGGCGAGGAGTCGAGGAACAGAGATAGCGTGACGCGTAAACGGTCGTCAGAACCGAGCTCGGCCTGGTTAACTGATCCAAGCTCGGACCGGTCTCGGCATGGATTGGTTTTTCAAGGGTAGTGGAAATGGGGCTATTGACTCGCAGAAATTCCTCATACCAAGCATGCTTGTAGCGACAGTGGAGAGGAAAACTCAATTTTAACAGGAAGAAACCTCCAGCAACTCAATGCTATTTCTGATATTTTGAATTGAAAAAGGTTCCTGGATGGGACGCGAAATGTCTTCAAACCTAAAATAAAAAGTCCACTAAATTGTTTTTTTTAAACTTTAAAAAAAAAAACTGCTGAGGTTTTCTACAGCACATGTAATTATGTTGTTTCCCCTATTCCTCTGGAGAGCATCTAACACCGGCAGGGATGGCGAGTGGTCTCTGTTGTGTTAGCACGCCCGCTTTGGCACATTCTTAGCAGAGGATTAGTGGAGCTTACAATGCACACTTGTTATTGTGACAGGAGGACCTTTTTTTTCACCAACGAGCTTACAGAGGGGCTCCCTCAACATCAGCATAATTTCAGATCATTGTGTGATAAAATCTCTATGAACACAAATTTTGTATACTTACAAACACAACGTATTACATAGCGATTAATTAGTTCATGAGATAGTAAACACTCCAAAGACCATATGGACTCTCAGACAGATTAGCCGGGCTGCTGGCAGCTGATTGAGCTGCCTGAATGGGAGCACAGATCTGGCTGTACCGGCAGAAAGCAGACAAATCAAAGCTGGTTAAGTCTGCGGAGATGAGCACATTGGAGGGTTTTAACTCAGGTTAAGC